TTTCTCAGGCCACACTCCCCGCCATGCCTTCGGGGATGAGCACCAGGCCAGGGGGGGTAAACCAGGGTCCAGGGGCAAATCCAATCTGCCATGCATGAGATTTTGTACATCCCACAAGCTAAGAATGGTTTTAACTTTTTTTTTTTTTTTTTTTGGCAGTACTTGCTTGAACTCGGGGCCTACACCTTGAGCCAGTCCACCAGTCCTTTTTCGTGATGGGTTTTTTGGAGACAGGGTCTCACAAACTATTTGCCCAGGCTGGCTTTAAACCATGATCCTCCTGATCTTTGCCTCCGAAGTAGCTAGGATGACAGGCGTGAGCCACTGGCACCCGCAGTTTTAACACTTTTTAACTGGTTGAAAAAACAAATCCAAAGAATCCTGTTTTTGACACATGAAAATTAAGTGAAATCCCAATCTCACTGTGCATAACTGATCATTCAGAACACAGCCAGGACCATCCGCTCGCAGAGCTGAGGCTGTACGAAACAGCAGAGCGAGTAGTTGTGACAGGAGCCGTATGGTCGCTACAGTGTGCCCACCCCAAGCTAAGCAGCTGTTTGCATCTCTGCTGTGGGAGCTGAAGAGACACTGTCCCTTGGAATACCCAGGACTCATCTCTAGCGGTGGGGTGGAACAGGACATCTCCCCGGCCCAGGAAAGTCTAAAGCAGGTTAGAACACCATATAACCCGGTCTACAAGGCAACCTTTCAATGCAGCCAGCTGGCCCCGGTTCTGAAAATTCCCAAGACACTGACATCCCTTGGAATGGGAATTTGGGCACTCACTGAAGCCGATTCTCCTGCCTCTCCTCCCCCAAATTTCTCTTCCCTTTACTCCAAGTCTCTTCCATGAAGTCCTTCTCTATTCTGACCCATACTCATGTCTCCAGTCTCTGAACTCTGACCCCATTCACACACCAGGGAAAACTGGTGTGCAATGGGAACCTGCAGAGGAGTTCTGGCTCCTTGTCAGCCCAGAACTTCAGCATAGGATCCCAAATGCCTCTCAATTCCTAAACCTCCGTTGCAACTTAACTATCTTGGCTGGTTTTAGTTGGTTGTTTTCTGAGACAAGGTCTCGCTGTGTAGCCCCTCCAGCCTCAGCCTCCACGGTGCTGGGATTATAGGCATGAACCACCATTCAGTTTTGCAAATGTTCAAACTGAACATTTAGGACTAGCATCTCAATAACTCTCGAAAAGCCTATGAGAATCAGCCCTGGTGACAGAGGTAAGAACTGAGCCTTCACGGCTTGGTGGCACTTGTTCAAGGTCACACAGCTCAGTGGGCAAGACTGGGCTGTCTGTCTAACTCCATCTTTGAGTAGCGCTAACTGTAAACTGAGACAAATGGGGTCATCTCCCCAATTAAGCACATCCACTTTCCCATCGGTGCAGGGACCCTGTGTCCTGGACTTGTTGAGACAATTCCAAATTCTAGCAAGTTTGAGATATAAACTTGCAAGTTTGTGAAATGTATTTGTAATTGGGAGTCAAGTGTACAATTCGAGACTGATACGCTAAAATCCTTGTAAACAGCTTTACAGACCAGAAAAGAATATGTCCTTTGTAGACCATGTGGCCTTGTGAGGGGAGCAAACAGCAGAAGTGACTCTGGGAATGGAAAGGGAACAGATGACAAAAGTAACTTTGTCTTAGATAAAAGAGACAGGAAAGCACCTTTTTTTTTTTTTTTTTTTTGCGGTACTGGGGCATGAACTCAGGGCCTTAGAGCCTACAACTTGAACCACTCCACCAGTCCTTTTTTGTGAATTTTTTTTTTTTTCCAAGATAGGGTCTAGTGAACTATTTGTCTGGGCCGGCTTTGAACTGAGATCCTCCTGATCTCTGCCTCCTGAGTAGCTAGGATTATAGGTGTGAGCCACTGGCACCCAGGCAGGAAGGCACCCTTCTTTTAGATAAGGGAGACAGAGAAGTATCTTTGAAAGCAAACATCCAAAGGGAAAAGAAACAGGCTCCTCAGGAAAGTAACACAGCAAACTCCCACCAAGATAGCAAAAGGAGTTATTGCCCCAAAATAGCAAGGGGCAATAATAAAATGTATATGACAAGCCTCAAGGACAGGAGGGACTAACAAGACCCACCTGGAATGTCCAGTTTGATAAGGATGGAGGAGGGAGCGGCCAAATGGTTAGTTCCATAAGAAGTTAATTAGGTGACATCCAATTACAGATGTAGTTTCAAAGTACAGTAGGAGGAGCCTAAGTCAGACAGAACCCTATATTATCCCCTAGACTTCAGCCTTTCTTTGGCTTAGCACTTTTCACTAAGTCCCACCCATCAGGGTGCTTTGCTATCCTTTCAATAAACTTTGTGCTTGCTTTACTCTTAACTCCTGGTCAGGAGTCTTCAATTACTGACTTCACCAGGACTCGAACTTGAGAAAAACAATCCAGTATCGGCCTGACTTGTGCTTACTCTAGGACTTGAGTGTTCTTGCCAGAGGAGATGATTATGCAAACATGCATAAGACGTGACCCAAGACTAGTCCTGGATCCATCTCCCAGCCCTTCACTCAGACATGGCTGTAAGCACTTCACCAAAAGTCCCCCTCACAACTCTGTGAGTCTGCTCTACAGAAGGACCTAGGGACTGAAAGGGCAGTGGAGGATGGTCTCTCTGAACCTCCCATTGTGAGGCTAACCAACCTGTAAGGCTCTTCCAGCTCCACGAGTCCTCATTTCCGGGGTCCTCACAAGTCACAGTAACCAGTTACAGAGTGAGCCTAGTCTCGTGACTACTCTGTGACACTAGGAGGGCAGTCTCTTTCTGAAGGAGTCAAGCAAGTTAGGCCCTCAAAGTGGTAGAACTTGGCAGCCTATACAGTTGTCCCTTCAGGTGACAGCCTGGGTTCAAATCCCAGTTCTGCTCTCACCAGTACTGAAGACTTCAGTTCACTTCTGTGTGAAAAGGGTATGACACAGTTGGGGTAAAGCTCAGTGGTAGAGCACCTGCCTAGCATGTGTGAGGCCATGGGTTCCATCCCCAACACTACAAAAAAAGGGGAAGGGAGCAACAGTACCTGCTTAGTGCTCCACAGTGGTATTGAAGAGTACGAAGTACTCAGGCTGCCATATGGAAAGCACCCCAGAAATGTTTGCAGTTAATCCACTTGTACCCACAGGATTCAAATTAGAATTATAGTAGCTACCCCTTATCCACAGGGGAGGCCTGAAACTATGAACAGTATAAAACCCTACATGTAACTGTTGTTTCCTATACACACACCTATAATAAAGTTGAACTTATAAATTAGGCACAGTAGGAGATTTACAGCAATAAAAAATAGAATAATTTTTAAATAAATTTTTAAAAATAGAATAATTATAAAAAGATACAGTAACAAAATTTCCAGCATCATTACTCTTGTACTTAGGAGACATTATAAAGGAAAATTAGTTATATGGTTGACCTAATAACCAAGAGGGCCATTAAATGACTTATGTGCGGGCAGCACATACAATATGGATACCCTGAACAAAAGGATAATTCATGTCCCACACAGAACTGCACAACATTTCAGACTACTCAGAACAGCAAGCAATTTAAAACTTATAAAGCGCTTATTTCTGGAATTTTTCACTTCATTTTTTCAGACCACAATTGACAGAAAACAAAACCACAGATAAGTAGGACTTTTGTACCAAGAAGACATTGGGTTGCCCCATTGGATCAGGAGTTCTTGGAGGTAAAGGAATGTTTCCCAAACATCTGTGCGTCCCTTCCTGCTCTGAGAGGCAGGCTTTACACCTGAGAAGAGTGCACAGGATGTTTACGGGCAGGTAAATCTATCATATCCTGGAAAAGTAACACGGGAAGGAGACTATGGACTCAGCCACAAGGGTGTTCCTCACTAGGCTGTGTATAATAGCCAAAAAGAAGAAAGATCTTGCATAGCCAGCTACTTACACATTTTAAGGCACATCCATTTACAGGAATGCTGGACCCAGTAAAAACACGGCATAGAATAAGGGTGGGCAAGGTTTTTCTGTAAAGGGTCAGAGAGTCAATACTTAAAAGGTGTCAGAAGCCAGTCTCTGTCCCACTACTCAACTGCCAAAGAAGCATAGAAGACCCACAGACTGTGTAAACTAATGCATGTGGCCGTGTGCCAATCCAACCTTATTTGCAAACACTGACATTTAAATTTAACATAATTTTCAAATGACACAAAATGGTACTGGTCTTCCGATTTTTTTTTTTTTCAATCATTTAAACACGTAAGAACCATTCCTTCCTCAGGCAGTGAGTCATACCCATGGGTAGAAGAATACTAAAAGCAATTTACAATCCAGGATGTTCTGCATGATTCAGTTTCGTAGATTAAAACATCTCTGTATTGAAAAGACCTCAAAGAGGTACAACCGCTGTCCTTTCTTCCTGTGAGGGGGAATTATGAGTTTCAGTCCGACTTTTTGCTTATCTATAACTGAATTTTCAACAACAAATACATATCACTTTGGTAACTGTTTAAAAGTGCAATAAAATGAAGACAAAAAGGAAACAAGGCAAACTCAAGTGTAGATGGAGCTAAGAAACTCGGGCACAGAGCTGCCCACACCAACCAGTTCAGAAAATGACCTTAAAATGTGATGCCTGGGCTGGACCAGGACGATTCACTCAGGACTTCAGATTGAAAAAGTCTTGACTTCAAAAAGTCGTCACTTTTCTCCAGGTTAAGGCTAAAGGGAAAGGGTGTCCACCGCCCCAGAGAAAACTTGAGACACCTGTGTGCTCCGGAGCGCCTTCCAAACAACATGCCCCGGTGGCAAGTCTGGCCTCCTTCTCCCGCCAAGGCCAGCTGGAGTTTGCAAAGCGTGCTCCCTCTACCCTGTGGCCACAGTTAAGCTTGCATTCCTTTGGTTTGGGGACAAGGGGAAAGGAGGGTGCTAAGAGGACGTACATCCAGACCTCGTTGGGGAGGGGGGAGAGAACTTTGTAAAGGATAACAGTCATTAAAATTGCAGGCTTACTTACGGTACTGTTGGGTCAGAGAAACAGACCTTGCACTTGGCAGGACTCATGTTGACCGACCCACTGGCCAATCCCCCCTCGCTCCTGCAGGGGTGCAGAGCATGCACCCCCTAAACTCCTAAAGCACACGCGGGTTCCAGGGCCCAGCAGGGCAGCCAGGTCCTGACCAGGAGGCGGAGGCGCGGTCCTAGAGCGCCCGGGGCCGAGCCCTGCGACAGCCGACGGACGCCCAGCTCCGCTTTGCGCTTGCTCCATCCCTAAATGCGCCCTGCGCGCCAGGGCCGGGGGCCAACGCGCCCGCCCGGGCCCCGCCCCCGCCCGGGCCCCGCCTCCCGGGTGAGCCCCGCCCCCGCCTGGGCCCCGCCTCCTGGTGAGCCCCGCCCCCACACCGGGCCCCGCCTCCCGGGTGGGCCCCGCCCCTGAGCCACTCCGGCCCCGCCTCCCGGCCCCACTCATCGCTGGCCGCAGGTGACCTCGAGCACCAGATGGAGTCTATTAAGAAGTCCCCTCTTTGTCTTCCCTCCTCCGCCCCCCTAACCGGGTAGACGAACTCAAGATCGCATAGCCTGCGTATTGCAGCAGCTGAGATACTTGAACACACGACAGGGGAGTGGTGGAAAGTGCGGGAAATTTAAAATTAGAGGTCTCTGCTGCTCTGTTAAAAGTCCCCGTTGCCAAGTCAACTTCTGGCTTCCAAGGATCCTGTTTTTGCTTGTCCTCTCGCCTCTATCCCCTCCCCCGACCCCACCCGCAATGTGCTTCCTGCACGCACTTTGAACCACCTGGGTCCCCTGCAACTGCCCGTGATCCCCAATAAATCCAGGCTCACAGTCGCTGAGTGTGCCTTTGCGTTATTTCACCCTCACAGCATCTTACTGTTTTTATTCCCACACTGCAGATGAGAATGCAGAAATGCTATTTCCCAAGGACACAGGGCTGACCCAGACAAACTGACTCGTTAGAGGGAAGAGATGAAGCTTCTTGAAGTAATAAACACAGAGACCCAATAAGAAGAAATGTGTTTGCCTAGCGTGTGCCTTGCCTAGCAGGCCCTGGGTTTGATCCCCAGCACCGTACAAAATAAAATGATAATGATAAATGTAAAAGTATATTCATAACGAGCAAAAAATAGAATGTAAATGCTGACCCAAAAATTCCCCGCAAGAGGACAGGCAGCGCCACGCCTCCAGGGGGCGCTAAGCACACGCCACGCTGGGCAATGACCCCCACACGCACCCCCATGCTACAGCTAGCTATGCTCTAACCATGCTTTAAGTAACATTTCAATCACAGGTTAAAAAATGTGAACAAAATTCTCAGTTCTTCAGAGTTTCTAGAAGGTTCTCTTTGGTCTTATCTTCATCCCCCCTCCAAAAAAAGAAATCTACATTGGAGCATTTTTTTGTTTGTTTGTTTTCCTTTTTGGTTTATAGACTATATAGCCCAGGCCAGCCTCAAACTGGCTGTGTAACCCAGGCTAGCTTGTAACTCTCAATCCTTCTGCCTCAGCCTCCAGAGAGCTGGGATTACAGGCATGCCCCCAACACCTGGCTAGGGAAAGCTTCAGATAAATGCTAAAAAGCATTAATCCTCCCAATGACAATTTAAAAATATCCCTGTCAACATATGGGAAGTAGTGAGACTCAAGAAACGAAGACACTGCAAACACTCCTACCAGACCCAAGTCAGCCAGGAGCCACTTGTCAGCTTCCTGGCACTGTTCTCCATCTTTCCTCACCATTGCCAAACCCCAATACACCTTAATCACTGATTTTTTACCTCCTCTGCTAACACACCTCCATTTCACCCAGGGGCTCAGGAAAGGAATTTCACTTAGGTGGGCTTAGGTTGTGAGAGTGGTCATGACATGGATTTATCTCGTTGGTTTGGGTTTGGGTTTTGTTTTGTTTTTTTCCCCTATGTTGCCCAGGCTTGTCTCCATCTCCTGGGCTCAGATGATCCTGGGGGGACAAGCTAAGCAGCGACACCAACATTAGCAGTTCAGGTCTGGGTTCAAATAGTGCTCTGGACCTGTGATGATCTTGCTGGGAGACCTCGAACCCCGCTGACCTTATCTAGGAAATGAGGTTGACTGGTACACTCTTTCCCCAATATTTTTGCACTATTTTATTATTAGATGTCATTCAAATGTTACTATAGAAATGAGATTTAGGACCTGGTGTGGTGGCTCATGCCCATAAAACCAGCTACTCAAGAGGCAGAGATTGGGAAGATCGAGTTTTGAGCTTACGGTGGCAGAGGAGTTAGTATGACACCATCTGAACAAAAAAGCTGGCGTGGTAGTACACCCTCTCATTCCAGCTCGGCTTGGTGGCTGAACCAGGAGGATCGAGGTTCAGGCCAAGCCAGAACATAAAAGTGAGATCCTATCTCAAAAATAACCAACACCAAAAACATTCAGAAAGAAAACCATTCAACTCCTACTACATAGAGCTAATGATTGTTCAGTAGCTAGAAACATTTCTTACGAGTGTCTCTCTCTCTCTCTCTCTCTCTCTCTCTCTCTCTCTCTCTCCACACACATACACACATACTTAAGTCCAAGCATTTCTGTGCTTACTGTGTGTTGGGGACTGTTCAAGGCACGTTACATACAGCCCACAATCCTTTATCTGAAGCTCACATGGCTTGATGTGTCTTGGAACTTGGAATTGTTTTTTAAAATGATTTAAAAAAAAATTTTTTTGGTGGTACTGGGTTTTGAACTCAGGGCCTCACTCTTGCTAGACAGGTGATCTACCCCTGGAGCCACTCGCCAGCCCTTTTTTGTCTTTGAGATAGGGTCTCAAACTATTTGCATAGGCTGACTTTGAACCGCGATCCTCCTGATCTCTGCCTCCTGAGTAGCTAAGATAGCTAGGATTGCAGGCATGAGCCACCGGTGCCCAGTTAGAAAGATATATTTTATGTTTCATATTACTCTTTTAGCAACGGAAAGCATGAACAGTCACACAAAATGGAATGAACGAGAACCACAGTAATTTTGCTGGTAGATGAGTTCACCACCACCTTATAAGCTTGTTGCATAACTTTAAATTTCAGTTCTTCAGCTGAGTGATCCTGAACTCCCATGCATTCAATCCACCCACTGCAGTAATACCCAATCTCAAAAATAGCCAATGCAAAAAGGACTGAAGGCATGGCTCAAGTGGTCAAACACCAGCCTAGCAAGCACAAGTTCCTGAGTTTAATCCCCCAATACCCCCAAAACCAAATTTTTTAAAAACTAGGGTATTTAATGGGACAGAGAAGGCCACTGGAGGAGGTACCTTTGATAGGCAAAGAGCTGGGGGTGATGGAAGAACCAGTTAGTGAATTTGCAGGACCTATAATGAAAATAAGGAGCCTGTTCCTTAGTTAAAAATTAAGAATTACAAGGGCTGGGGGAGTGGCTCAAGTGGTAGAGCGCCTACCTAGCAAGCATGAGGCCCTGAGTTCTAACCCCAGTATCAAAAGAAAAAAAAAAATTAAGAATTACAAAATGGGGCTCCTGGTGGCTTCTGCCTGTAATCCTAGCTACTCAGAAGACAGAGCTCAGGAGGATTGTGGTTTGAACCTAGCCCGGGCACGTAGTTCATGAGACCTTATCTTGATAAAGGGCTGGTGGAGTAGCTAAAGTGGTAAGAGTGCCTGCCTAGCAAGCCTGAGGCCCTGAGTTCAAATCCCAGTGCTGCTAAAAAAATTTTTAAAAAAAAGGAATTCCAAGATGGGGACAGCAGAGCATTAAATCATGACGCCTCTCAGTGCCCAGCTGTTGCAAGTATAAAGGCCTAGAAAGGATACAACTGCTAGCACTCTGAGAAAGTAAGGATGTAGCGAGAAGGAGAAAGCCCCTTTGCAAATGCTGCTCAGCAAGAGCTTCCTTCCATCCCACAAGCTTTAATGAACACACAGATTTTCCAGCCAGGCCTCGCCAGTCTCCTGCTAGTGGCCCTGCAGGAAAAGGCCCATCTTTGTGGCCTTCCAGGGCAGAACAGAGGCCAGAGGGCTCCCTCGGGAACCATGAAGGACAAAGGCAGGTCCACAAGCACACACGTCACCTCTTCCTGTGGTTTTCTACGAGGCAGACTCTGAGGAAATGCCCAGGCCTTAGCTTTCTGACTTTGAAAAGAGACAGGGCTGAAAAAATCAGCCAACCCCTAATTTCTGCTTTCATTTTGGAGAAACTGCGGTACCGCAAAATGTTAAGGGATTTACCAAAA